ACATACTCGCGAGAGAGAAGGCACCTGGCGTGCGGACCGACTGCGCCACCGAAGGTACTCCGGGTGTGTTCGGCACTGGCTCTCGGTGGTGCTCCTTGAACCACTTGAGCATCGCATTCAATGAGTCGAAACTCTGCTTCCGGTATCGGAAACCTTCCGGCGTCACCGACACAAACTCGTGACGTGCCTTCAATCTCGGCTGATACGACAACATGAATCTCCCCGGCGTTCCCTAAAAAATTCGATCAATCGATCAGCCCCATTTCTCCGCGATTCATGGAAAAAAGACATAGTCTAGGCCACACGTCCTAGAGATAATTTTGGAACAGTAAAATCTCGTTACAACAAACTTTTGGGGACTTGAGAAAACTTTTTGTTGTACACTACTGAATAATTTGTCATCACGAAACTTTCAAAATTGACGACAGCATAAATTGTTTATATCAGACCTGCCTAAAATTAACTAGATCTTGCTTTTCTGGAGGTCTCCAATTTTTTAGTATGGTTTGGAAAATTGATTTATCCTCATAAAAAGTAGCTTCATTCATGCATTCCATCAGTTGCACCGATCGGTTCATTCCGGGAAGATTATGTGTGTTGGAAGCATGTTTTTTTTATTGATTAAAGCTTGTAAACGTGTTAAAAAAAACCCGATCAGTCTTATTTGGGATCAAAAAATCCAGACTGTGCTCGCATTTGTCAAGAAATTCAATTCAACACCACCCAAAAAAGTTTGTTATACAGAAATGTCTTGACATGTACTCTAGAGGCTTTCTGCCGGGACATGGGAAAAGAATTTGTTACACTGGAAAAATTATTCGAATGGTACTTTTTTAAATGGTTTGAGATTTTCCTGAAGAGGAGGTGTGAAACGATCAACAGATGTCGCACACGAAGAACCGTAAGCTTGATTCACACGTTTTAATGAGAGACTCGAGAAAAAAATAGGGTTTCGAAATGAGTTTGAAAGGAAATAAATACTGGCACACACTCTCTCTACAACGACTTTCTCAACATAACGGATTTGTTTCTCGGTCCCACAGAGTTCTCTTCCCGTAATATAGGCGTTTTCCACAAGGAATTTTTTTTTCTGGTCCTTCGAATTTCTTTGCACGGAGTCCACCTGTATGACTGAAAGTAGAGGAAAAGAAAAACAAAACAACTCACGTGAGCTTGAGCCACAACAGACAAAATGTAGGGAATCTTGTTCGGAGCTTTCCT